ATTAATGTAAACAATTATTTCCGAGGCCCCACGTTTATATGATCATTATAGTTATAAAAAAATAAGAGAATAAATTAAAAACAGGTATGAAATACTATATGACATTAAAAAAAGAATAACGTTAAAAAGGGAGTGATTTGTAAAATATCCATAAAGAAAAAGTAAATCTGTTTACAGTTCTGTTTCAAATGGGTGTTGAGAGATGTATCCATAGATCTCTTCATGTTGCTCTCAAAGTGCACCAGATTGATGCTTTTAACTTCAATATTTAAAAATCTTCTCAGGGGAGCTTGCCCCCTGACCCCCCTATGTGAGGTCCACACACCACCTATAAAAATAACACTTTACCCCTGCTTACACCTATATGCCGTGAGCTGATTATCGAGCCTTCATTGTAACAGTCGCGGGTACACTGTGTGTGTGTGTGTGGGGATTGTTGCAGTAGAACATTCCACTGTAGCGACCAGTACATTAATGGGAAACCCTAAATGTTTGAGCACCCTCTATGAAACGTCAAGCTACCCCACAGCACCCCCAAAATAGAATCTCTGGCGCCGCCACTGAGCCTGACTATTTGTGTTGGGGGGGCCCGACTTTTTTTTTTCTCCAAAGGGGGGGCCTGACAGAAAAAGTTTGAGAACCACTGCTCTAATGTGTCTCACCCGTATGAAGCACTGGAACTTCTTGTCTCTGGCCAGCAGTTCCTTGTACAGTTTGGCAGCCTTCATGTGGCGGCTGCAGAACTCAGCGTAGGTCTTCCTCATGTCGTCTGCACACTGACCTGAGAACTGCAGAAGAACACAGTGGTGCTTTGTCTGTGTGTATGAATTTGAGAAAACTGCTTAAAGGTTAATGGAAGACAGTGTTCTGACCTGCTATCTCTTATTCACATTTACCATTAGATACAAATCTAAAAGGTAATATAAATATTTTATTAAAAATATATAATCTATTTTAACATTTAAAATAACAATACCAACTCAAGTTAGGCTTACAAACAACTTATACAAGAGCTTAATTGAATACTAGATACTGATTGGTCAATTTGGATATCCAACAGTTTGCTCCTTTTTGATAGCAGACTGTTGTTAAGGACGCTTGATCAAGGGACTGGTCTGGTAAATGTAACGTCATCTCTGACCAAAACACCAATACTTGTTGAATATTTATGGCAAGAAGACATTTTTGGATTCATGATGGCTAAACTGAAATAATCTTGAGTAGCGCTGCTTCGCCGTAAGACGCACTTTTTTTCTTAATGCAGGTAATACAATCATAATAAATCAATATCTTGTGTCAAATTATTGATTTATTTGCATCTATTCCGGGTCATTCAAAACCCTGTGCACACCCTGTCAAAGTTGCTAAGCCATAGAATTACACAGAAGTATTTTCTGTCATAACCAAATGAGTTCTAGTTCTGCGTGACGTGTGCAGTGTTTCTGTCACCTGCTCTAGAAGAATGTCTCCCAGCTGGTGGATGGTGTAGTTGCGGTATGATCCAGGCTGCAGGCTGCAGTTGTGCCGCAGGAGAAGCTGAGCCAGGAAGTGGGAGTGTATCCTGATCAGCTGGTCCAGGCAGGGGAACATGGCATGAACGGTGCACAGGTCCATCTGGAGCTCATCCAGCATGCCCTGCCGGAAAACCCTTTCCATGATGTGCAGCGTTCTCATGTGGTGCAGCTCTGTCTGAATCAGCTCTGAGAAGAGCACACACATACATATGTTTGAGTCTAAAGGATCTGTGTTCAACGATACATTAAATGTCCGTACTATTGGGATGAAAGATAAAGATGAATATACGTCACCATAGATGACATCCTGCCTCTTGATGATGTTCTTGCGGTGTGTTTGCAGGTAGCTGCTCTCCACGGCCATGCTCCAGGAGTCGGCCTTGAAGTCCTGTCCCTCAAGCTCCAGCTCTTCTAACACTGAACTATAGTAGTTGTCTCCTAAATAAGAGAAAACCTTCAGCATCAAACAATCAGAGGCTCACAAATGCTGTTAGAGCTGCACAGTGATCTACCCAGGAGTGAAAAGACAACTTGATCCTTCACTTGTTTCGAAAATCTGTTTCGAAGGTCAGCAGATTACCCTGTGCAGTCAAACTTGTGTTAAGGTGAAAATAGTTATATATCTTTTAGTAATTTCAGACATTCATCATGTACAATATAGAGTACATCATCAGCAATCATCATATCAATAAACAGAAATAACAGCACAAAACATGACATCTCAACTTTACTGTAGACCTCTTTACTACACTGCATTAAAGAGAGCATGATAAAGTACTCTGCATATCATAAACATATATGAAATGTATCTTATATAACTGAAATTTATCAAATGTTTTTAGAAATACGTCAAAAATGCTCCTTTGGTCTCCCCACTCTGTGAGTGGTTGGCCAGTGTATGTTTGATTCATTTAATAGATTTACTTTAAGCTTAGTCACTTTCCATAGCTTGCTCATGTAAATGTGTCCTGTCTTAGTCCTCTGTGCTGTGTCTCAATTTGCGTACTTAGGTCCTTACATTTGCTATTTTGATTGCATAAGTGCTTACGAAAGCAAAGTATGCCGGATGCTGTGCACTACGAGTTCTAGCATTGTGGACTGATAACATAAAAAAAACATGTCTGGAACATTGGACACTTCTCACACTCAACAATCCCCATCTTATGCAAATAAAAGTTATACATGTTGTTGTCTTGGTGATTGAGCAGTCTGTTTTGATTTGCTACCCCTACGATAACATTGCTAGCTACAGTAGCTAACTGGATAACATAGGCGATAGTCTCTTCCTGTGAGGGCACAGCAGCCATGTCTGATATGAGACAACACCACCTGTTCCAACACTCTGAAACTACAGTGTACAACATGCGGCAGGGCTGCCCCTGGCCAACTTGTGGCCCCACGCAAAATTGTGTGATGAGGTCCCCCTTGCTTCTGTGTCGCGAGCATCAACGGGGGGGAGCACGCTCGTGCACTGCGAGCGGCGAGAGCTGAGGCGCGCTGAATTGCGCCGCATTTGCGCATAAGATGAGGCCCCCTCCGCAAGATGAGGCCCCACGCAGTCTGCGTGATCTGCGTGTAGGGAGGGGCAGCCCTGACATGCGGTGTACTAAGGGAAGTATCTGAATTGATACACAGCATTGGTGTTACTGAAGAGTCTCAAACACTCGTGCTTCTTCTGACACACTACACACCTTAACCAAGTTGTCATTCTCCATCTAACCTAAAAAAACCATCACCATTTTCTGACATAATAGTCAATGCACTTCGCCTAAATTCACATCAGGTGGGTCACTGAACTCTCCTAACATTGCTTTGCACCTCCTACAGGGAATGCCAATAGGTCTGTAGATCTGGAGGTCCTGTCCGTTTGTTAACTCAACATGGGCCTCAAAAATGTATTATGAATATATTTTTTAATTGCCAACAGGTGTAGGCACAACACAAACTACAACACTATAGTACAGTAACACTCCTCTGTTTCTGCTCAAAAAACGGCTGATACGCCCCAGAACGAACTGCAGTTTCCATTCCCTGTTGCACTTCTGACTCTCCGGAAGGCTTTCTTGCCTGCTTTCTAAGAACCAGCTTACTCACTTGACCTATGGCACTGACATTACTTTTATCATTTTGTTGTGAAGATGTGCAGTTTCTCGTACCGTCATCGTTCAGGGACTCTATTGACATAGCTCTGTTCCTGAAGCTGAGGGACTCTGTGGACTGGGACAGGATCCTGCGCAGCCCCAGGGTGGAGTCCTCACTCAGGGTCCTGCAAGATACACACACTTACTGAGACTTTAGTGAGGAAAGCCATTATTTATGATCGGTGTTTGAACCCAGACAGCCTATGTGACAGGAAGAAGCCTCTTAATATAAGAAAGTTCAGAAAGTCAAGAAGCAGAACATTTACAGTTTATGGCAAAAGCTATTAAAGAGAACATTTGCGCATTAGAGCAAGTGCAACGGTAAAAGATCAAATGAATAATGGCTGCTTTGGTATTATGCATGCTGACTTCCTGTTGCTCACCCTGGAACACATCAGATGCATCATTAGTGTTGTCAGTGACATTATTAAATGCATCATTTTAACCTTTATTGATTTGGATGCGTTAACAGGGTTACGGTTATTGATATTGGTTACATTCTATGTGTTTATTACCTTTCATAAGCATTTGTATGGGCTATGTAGCCGTTTTTCTTACAAAAAAGGGAAATCCTTGAAGTCAAATGTTTGCCTACACCTCTCATTAGACAATAACCCACATGTATAATAAAACGTACAGTATGAATTAGATGAATAATAACCACACATTTGAGGAAAGACAGCTTTTAGCATTTTAAAAGTCTTTCACCTGTCTAGTAAAACATTCAATTGTTTTAAAAAAAAGTGCTACAGTCCTGGGGGCTGATATAGTAAATGAAATGCCGACTACCTCTTCTTTAGTGACCCCATGGTTCATTTGCCCATCACCTTGAAACCGAATCATGTGAACAGGGACATGAATGCTTGGAGGTGTGTGGCACAGTGAACTAGTGTGTTGGTGTTCGGATCAGGGGAGCACAAGTTCAAACCCCACTGCAGTCAGCATGCCGCTGTGTCCCTGAGACACTTCACCCCAAAGTGCTCCTGTGGGGATTGCCCACAGTATTGAGTATGTAAGTCGCTTTGGATAAAAGCGTCTAACAAGTGACATGTGATGTAATGTAATGAATATCCAGATATCTTCATGCAAACATTATAACTAGGGCCGGGACTTTAACGCGTTAATTAAGATGAATTAATTACAAAAAAATTAACGCATTTTAATCGCACTTATTTTTGCACCGCGGAACGTTTCTCACTGGATGAGTTTCAGGGGTACCGATTATACTGGAGCACCAACTAACGTTCATGACTTCAGACAACAACAAACCACAGTGAACAATAGTCCAACATGAACGAAGAAGCTGATGAGACCGCTTTGGTTGGCCCCGTGGATGGGACATTTTGTTTTAAAAAACGGACGGATGGAAGCGTCGATAAGAGCACGGTTGTTTGCAAATTATGCAAAAAGGAATTTGCGTATCACCGCAGCACATCAAGCCTCAAGTATCACCTCAATGCAAAACATATAGCAGCTAGCGTGGAAGCTAGCGTGGACGTTAGCCCGACTCGGAGTACAAGGACCCACACCCAATTCGCGTTGATCAAACAGTGGCCTATGCAACAGAGAGATTTTATTTTTCATCANAAGTTTGGCTCTGTGTGTGTGTGTGAAACGAGCCATTTTGTGTGCGTGCGGCACCAGAAGCTAACAACAACGATCTCCGGTACCGGTGCGCTCTCACTCGCGCACGCACACAAAATGGCTCGTTTCACACACACACACAGAGCCAAACTTTAATGAAACACAGAGACCCAGACGTAATAGTACTGTATAATATTATTTTCGAATCAATAATTTTTAAAACATTTTTTTTTTTTTTTTTTTTTTTTTATAACCATTTTTCCTCCTGGTCTCTCGCGCCCCCCCTGTCATGCCTCTGCGCCCCCCTGGGGGGGCGCGCCCCCCACTTTGAGAACCACTGCATTAGAGACACAGCATCAACTGTACCCCATGTGTTGGTAACACAGAGTCGGGGGTCAAAGTAAAACTCCCAAGGCCCTGGTTTGTAAAGACACAAGCTACAATTGCTGATGAAGCCCTTCATCTCCAGATTAAAGGAAACTACAAGTATACACCACCTAGATATTATACGTCTTCTATCAGTGGATTGGCTGAATTGCTGTCCTCAGCTCTGAATAGTAAATCTGTTTCTAATGCCCCGCCAACAATGGACTTTAAAATATTTTAACCTATCGTGTATTCTGACTGGACCTTATTCTGCTGACCTATCAATTAATCTAATATTATGGTACATAGATTCCTGCAGTCAAATGTGTAAATGCCTTTATTCCTGAGCAGCAATGCCATTTAGTTACAATGGGCGCATGCACTCGCTCTGCCATTGGGCTGGGGATTGAGCCAGAGGGTGGTTATAGATGTATTACTATGGGATGGATGCAGACCAGGGATCATTCAGGGTGAGCTGAGTGTGGTTGCAAAATAAAAATAAAAGTCAACCAGGATCCTTTTTTCTGTGTTTCTCTCTGTCCCTGGGTAGCGGGTGAGTCGTGGGTCCTTGCTGCGTCGCCATGGTGTTCAGGAGTGCATCTTGTTGGTGATTCAGCGGATCTCCAAATATCCTGTCCTTGTTCAGCGTATTCTGGAAAATACTGCAGTGAACGGTGAAGCATCCTATATAAGAAGATAATGATCAGTCACTATACCTGCGAAGTGTACCTCCATACCCAGTTTACTGCCCTTATGTTTTGCTTGGTGGTTGTTAATATCTGAGAAGTCTTCCCAAACCTAAATCTGTTTAATGATTGGCAAAATTGATACATTTGGTAAATGTTCCGTCTACAAAAAGTAATTTGCCCGTTAATAAAGTATGTTTTTTACTTTTTCTTTGTGCTTTTTGCTTTAGGTTCTTATTCTTAGCTAATAATCCTGTTTCCTGTATTTCTCTTCCAGATGATGAAGAGGAAGCCTCTTCTATAGCCCAGGCTAGCTTCATGGTCAGAGAACTTCTAAGTTCAATAGACCAACAGGTACCACATTTGTTTTGGAAACATATTGGCCATATACAGTATAAGATATAACATATATAAAGGCAATATGGGCTTGGGCTGTTAGCATTTGTTGAGCTTCTCTTGTGTCACATCTGTTATGTTATAATCTTATTATTATAAGACAAAAGGTAATCGTTGAAACCTTGAAGAAAAATAAGGTAAAATGCTTTTAAAAGTGAACCAAGTTAAAAGCTAGTTGTTTTGCGTTGCATTGATTTTGATGTTGGTGAAATTGACTGAAGAGTCAACTGCAATTCAGCTGCAAACTGTTGGTCATTCCCATGTCTTCCCATGTCTGGATTATGTTTAGAATGATTCATTAAGCAACAATTTGTTGTTGTCCCCTACTCATCATCATCATCAATCATCATCATCATCATCATCATCATCATCATCATCATCATCATCATCATCATCTTCTTTATTTAAAGAGTCTCTTTGTCCATTATTACAAGACATACAACACTCAAATATAAATTAAAAAAGGCAGTTATTCCAATGTTTCCACAGAGGTGACTGGTATCGTACAGCACTGAAACATGGATTTGAGAGCAGCATAATGACAGAGTTATGAGAAACATTCAATCGACAGATGAATTTGTACATCAGATTTCTCAAAAGAGCATGGAACGTGTTGACTCGTGCATAACAGAACATTTCACTTGCACTACTACTGAATTACATTGAAATAGAATCAGATTAGCAAGGCTCTTTCATGTTCATTAGTACTGTCTTTCGTACTCCAAAAGGAAGATACAGTAACTTTTTTTCCTGGTTGGCAGATGGAGGACCTGGAAAAAACACAGCGTCTGCAAGAGATCCAGGCCAAGCTAGACCCGCGTTCTGAAACCAGAGTGAGGGATGGGGGACTGTTCAAGCCTTCAGAGCTGTTCCGCAGGAGACTGGTCCATGAAGGAACCTTGTTCTGGAAAACCCCAGGATCCCGGCTCAAAGGTACATCAAGCTGTAAAACTATCCGGGTTGCGTTCCAATAGTCCATTTAGCTTAGGAACCTTCCTAACCAAGTGAAATGACCCGGAAGTACGTCAGTGGCAGCCATGTTAAGTGCCGTTCCAATTCTCCAAATGAAAGGAAAGGAGGTTTCAAACTTCCTTTATAACCTCCTTTAGCTTAGGAACCACTGGACCTCCCTTACCGAAAGGAGAGGAGAAAATGCTGCCCCACAATGCCTTGCAGCCGCAGCATTTGCCATCACACAACAGTCGGCCGTTCACGGAAACAAACGATTATGACGGAGAAGTTATATCATGAAAGTTACGGTGCTTATTAAGCATTTTAAAACGTATGTGGTAAGTTGCCAAAGTGCTTTGTTTTGAACGTTCATCAGTATTATAATCAAAAAGAGAAATATGAACGTTAGTTTTTACTGAAATGATCAAATAAAGTCAAAATTTCACTGTCTTTACTGAGCTGTGTGGGGTTTGTTCAACTTTTAAAAGATGTTTGAATGGTGATATACACAGTCATAGGTGTTAAGGACTAACGTTTATAATAAATACATTTGTATTGATTTTAAGATATTTTCATACAATCATACGTATTGGGATCATTTGTATTAATGTGGACCGGAGGGAGAGGGTGACGAGCATACATTTCACTTTCCTTTGTACTTCAATTCCAACTTTGGTCATGAAGAATATGTTTCTCTGTTGTCCCTGATAAACATAAAGCAACAGCATCAGAGCACGGTGCAGAGTCTCTAGAAGCAGGACAGCGGTAAAATCCTCTTTAATCTACAGGAAGTTGTACCGCACTGGCTTTTGGTAAAGGCCCAGTGATGGCCTCCTGGCTCCTCAGCTTCCTCAGCTCCTCCCCTTTAATCTCCTTTTATCTTTCCCTGGGTCTCTCGACTGCATGGCTATTTAGTTGTCTTCTTCTGCTGCCCTTCAATTGTGATTTCCCTTGTCGTCTTCTTCCCCTGTCCGTCCTTCATTATGATTTCCCTTGTCGTCTTCTCTGTCTGGGCAACGCAAGGCCTATTAGGTTTTTAGTCGAGGTTTAAGATTCGGATAGAGGGATAAGGAACTGGAGACTCACTTGCAGTGCCCCCACAGTGCCCTTATCACCTATCCTCTTAAGTTTTCCTGGAATCCTCTTCTCTGACGGCCATGAAATCTCTTAGGCTGACGTGAAAGGATAGACTGCACAAACTACTACGCGGTCGCATGCAGTAACACACGTAGACGACGACACCACTTTGAATACCTTTGATGTCACAAGGATAATGTGAACCTGAGGTGTACCTACAAATTATTCTTGCT